TAAATCTTCAGAAGCTTTTCTAATTAGCTAGACTTCCGTTACATTTAAAAGATCACACACACAAACCCACATTTTGGGCCAAAACTTAGACAAGTTTGTCCTTTTGAATAAATCGGTTGCACAGTGTTTCCTTCTAGCCATCTGCATTCTTTCCCTTTACCATCACTCCCTAGGCAACAGAAACAAAAGCTCTGTCTCGCATATAACTGCTGGAAACTAACAGCTGCAATGCAGTTTATTGCAGTTTCTCTTCTACAGAGGAGTTGACAGCATTAGATAATTTACACATATTGGGAAACAGCTAATTACCAGAGGAAATGAAAACTCATTTAAAGTACAATGTAACTCATTAGAAGAATCCTGTAAATTCGCACCATTTTGAATTCCAAGTACCCTCGTGCAGGTTCGTCAGTGATCACTAGAGGGCTCCCCAAAACCAGGGAATTTCAAACAATGCACTGAAAAGGAGACTTCTGGCAAAAATTCGAGACTATTCTGATGAGATTTCCCTAACAGAAACTGGGCATTTTAAACAGACGGGTTAGCCTGTCTCAGGGGATCATCTACAAAAGAGAGCCCGCTCTCAAGGCCATTTTATTTTCTATTCCAGCATTTTTGCTTTCTGGGAGTGGCAGACTGTGCTGTTTGCAAGAATACTCCATTTTCTTTCCTCTCTTCCTCTAGGAGGACTACAAAAGAAGAGCAATGAGGAGCTCATTGCTCAAAAGCTATGTGCGACTCCACATGGTGGAACAGAAAAGACACTCACTCTATTGTTGTGCTTTCCTGAATATCAACACATGGTAGAGCCCCCAGAACTACCCGATTTGCTCAAACAAGTTAAGAGAAAAGAACAGTTACCCTCTAGCAGTTCCAGGCTGGCGCCACCTCCCGTGCTGACATGGCTAACTTTATCCTCAGTGTTCCACTTCGCACAGCAAGTAGCTGTATCTCCACCACCTGTAGTACAAACAAAATCAGTGAGACACAGAAGAAATTCAGATTTTGTTCAGCTTAAGGGCCACAGCCTTGCTACGGGCTGGTCCTGCTCCCAAATACTCAGCATTAGTACATACAGCAGTCTTTAAAGCCCTATCTCCAAGCTGAAGGACGGATGAAAACATGAAAAAAGAAAAGCAATTTGGCATGTATTTTTAACGTGGTACTGGCAAGCAGAAGCTTCCTTGTTGCATTTAGAAAGACAAGAACAAACACATATAACTACTTACCAATAATGGTGATGCTGCCCTTTCCTGTTACTTCTACCACTTTGTCCATCAGGGTTTTGGTTCCTTTGGCAAACTTGTCCCACTCAAAGACACCAACCGGACCATTCCACACAATTTGCTTGGCCCTTCCCACAACTTCAACAAACTTCTTCACACTTTCAGGACCGCAGTCCAAGCCCTAAGACAAGTAAGAGAAGCCACAGATATACTTACTGCCGACCTTCATCTCAAATCACCAATGCCTAACTGGGATCCTCAGAAGCTTCCCCCTCACCCCCAGATAATGAAGCAAGAGTTTCTCTGTATGCACTGAATACTGAGGAACAGAAAGATTTGCCAGCAGCTGCTGCAGTAGGGTGGAGTCTGATGTGGTATTAATCTTCCTAGTACGAGTAAGTCTTTCTTAAATCAATGTCAGATGCTTGAAGCCTTGGTTAGAAACTTTTGGCAACTCTACCTAAATTCCAGTCAAATAAAAGGGATTTCTACTGCATTCAGATCTGAAGGTTTTAGAAGAATTTTGCTGTTTTAATCCAAATCTCACAAAAGCTACTTTAGACTTAAAAATTCAGGACAAACAACAGGGCTTCAATTTCATTAAACCAACACACTCTATGCAGCTTGACTGCCTTCAGAAACATAAGCAAAGGATCACAATTACTCTTTCTACTCCTTTAAGAGCTGTCCTTCCCACCCCACTGCTGCCTGTTACTTCTTTTAGTCCCTTGCCTATTAAAACCTACCATCCAGCCAGCAGGAATGCCTGAAGCCACCGTGGCTTCCCCAGGCTGTGCATGCTCATCAAATTTGTCTGCAGTGATGAAGTCAACAGGCAGAGTAATCTTCACACCGTTCTTCTCTGCCTTGGCCATCAGGTCCTTGACAATTTTTGATCCCTCTTCATCAAACAGAGAGTTGCCAATCTAGAGAAATTATTTGGGAAAAGTAAGAGAGAGGTGTTTGTTTAGCTACTGGTCATGACCGAAGAGGACAGCAGCAGTCAAGCCGAACCGCTCAGACAGCAATTCTGGAAAGACTGTCTTCTTAAAACACCTAACTAGATGTAGGCAGTAATCCGATTTTTGCAAAGTCAAGTAACTTCTCAGTGCTCCCTACTCTTGCAGAGAGTCGAGATAGCCAGTTCTCAATGCCAGAATATATAAGGGACATTCTGACCATATTCTTTACTAGGAGCAGACACAGAATTGCTCTTTTCATACCTCCATGTTATTGATCACTTTGAGGAAGGTGAACGCCATTCCACCACCAATGATCATCTCATTGACCTTATCCAACATGTTACTGATCAGCTGGATCTTATCCTGAACTTTGGCTCTGGCGAGAGAGAGAAGGAGAAAGAATGAATAATGTAGCCAGTGCCCAAAACTCTTCAGACAGAAGTTACTCTCTAGTAATCTTTAGCTAAGACAGCACAAAGCCTCACGAGGACTTCTTGGATCGAAGCAGAATTAATCAACTGCTATTCAGTAATGGCAATATTGTGATTGTGGCATATCAAGACCATTCTGAGAGAATGATCCAACAAAGTTGTTGGGAGTGGGCAGAAAGGGAATTTCGCAACCTAGCAGGCCAGCGTTAAACATCAACTTACAAGAGCATTATTCAGCCCTCCATTTTTTTCCCTATTTAAATATAAGCCTCGTTTGGCACTTTAGAGCCCCATTTCCCCTGACTGTGCAGCAAGGCAGAGCAGAGATCAGAGCACTGCCATTCACAACCACTGTCCAACCCTAGATCCTCTGTACCAGCTACCGTATGCCCTGTAACCCATCCAGGTCTGGCACCCCATCACACTCACAGTACAGCTTCAAACCGCTAGGATGATCTGTGATACAGAACTGCCCTGCCCAAAAGCAGATGACTGCTTTTGGCACAAGGTACAAATGATAATGGAACAACAATGTCAAAATTGCTTTATTGGCAAACTTTCAGCAAACTGCCAAAACCAGGACAACAGAAACGGCAGAGGAGGCAGTAAATAGACACAAGTCTCCTGTCTTCCCTCTTTAATGCCACATATGGAATTTTTGTTGTTATCTAAAAGAAAGCTTCATAAAAGACCTTAGGAAATAACCCTGAGCTAAACCTAGGCTGGCACTCAGGAGCCTTACAGGGATAATGATATGAATTTCATCAATAAAATGCTTTCAGACCTAACCATAAGAAATAGCTATTGCCTCTACAAATCCAACCTTAGTGACCATGGAGAGCTCTGGTGTGAACCAGCCACCAACCCCAGTTAACGAGCGAAGTTGCTAATGTTGCTACACTGTGGGAACTGAAGTGGTAAAGAAGCGTTGATGGGACGGGACAGAGCCACAGCAAAACCCTGCAGGGCCCATCTTGCCGTGTGCAGCTCCAGGCAAAAGGAGATCTGAAAGTGAAGTAGATTTTTGTTTCTTTCCCTTGCACATACCCTGCTCCTGGCACTGAATTACTTTCCTGTGCATGGTCGGTCTTTGCCAACACATTTCATTTCCACTTTACTTGTTAGTTCTCAGTTCATCTTCTAGGCCCAATTTTGTTATATACAAGCAGTAGCAAACCTGCAGCTGGATCACATGCAGCTTCCAAGTGTCACTTCCCCCTGGTACAATTGAGCAAGAGTTGCTCAATCTGCCATCCCACGTAGGAACCAGCTACACCACCAGTGGAACGGTGGTGCTTTCAAACAGATAAAGGTATTTTCTGGCTCTGAACTGCTCTCAGAGCTCCTCCTGTGACTCACTAAGATGCAGTCGGCATTCATCAGTCCCTGGCCACACAGTGAGCTCAGTATCAAGCTCCTAGGCTGGGACATGCTGGTCACCCTTGTTACACACCTCTCAAAAAAGGTTATTTTGTTCCCACGGGACTTACAGCACTTCCAGACTTTACTAATAGGCCTGATATTTTAACATTTCGGCCATCCTAGCTGCTGCTCTAACTCGAACATCTGATAAGGCAACTAACAAACTTTCCCTTGGCGATATACCTGCAACTTTCATCAAAGGTAGTGAGGAGCGTATAGCACTTAATGATGGGTCACCTGCAGCTGTAAACCTTGGAAGGGTACCAATAAAAAGAAAGAAAGCATTGTTCAGTATAACCAAGGTCATAGAAGAAGATTAAACCTTTATGTGAGAACTGAATACTACTTCTTAAAAAACACATTTATGGGTGCAAAGAGCAGGAATAAGCCACATACTTCTATCAAGAACACAGGAATGTTACGGTGTCCCAGCTTTGTGTTACTTAGCGAAGTATTTTAATTCTCCTGATGAACTGAAATACACTGTCATAGAACTACAGTGCTAAACTGGGTACACGCGTGACAAAAATCGGCAGCAATGGGAAATTATTTCTACACACAAGCAGTCACTTGGTTTTGCACCTTGAAGTTTCCTTGCACACTAGCTGCTGTGGAAGAGCGGCGCCCCATCCAGCTACAGTAGGTCACCATTGCATAATGACAGACCGTGTCAACTTACACAGTGCTGAGCCTGCAGGATGCTTGTACTCTGAACCGTGAAGGAAAGGTCACTGACCATGTTTCAGGGCCATCATGTGTATCTAACAGCTCTTCTGGTTCATCTGTACAACAAACTGCTGTGGACTATCTCAACTTGGGGAATGTAAGAGGTCAGGAGATACGATGAGCAGATCCCGATAGTATCATCACAGGAGTGGACATGGTCAGTTAGCTCCTCTCTAATCCACATCTTACAGAGATCTCAAGACTTATCTACAAATCTGAACTGTAGGTACAGTTAAAAGGAAAGTACTTGTTTGAACCAAGTCAAAATAACTTTTTATTTCTTACAGAGGAGTTAAAGAGAAATACGGAGTCAATATGCTCTTGAGTCTTACCCTCCAAGAATTGCTAAGAAGGGTCTCTCCGGACTCTCTAGGGCCTTAGCAAAATAATCCAGTTCTTTCTTCATCAGGAAGCCAGCAGCCTTCTGAGGCAGATTGACACCTACCATGGAGCTGCAGAATAAAGGTAAGAGTGAGGAAAGGAAAAATTTTCTATCAGTACAGGTCCAAACACCCCTGTGCCTCACAGCATTACAAAGCCAATCCTTTAGTCAGCTGCAGCAATGAGGATAGCTACTACCTGCATGAAAACAAACACGAGGTTTTTGTTTTCCTAGTTTGATAATTTGGCTGTACACGTTTACTTTCTGAGATTGCTTCTGCACAGACATATTGATATGCAAGACATTTACAGTGTTAACTAGTGATCCAAAACACTGAGGGACAAATAAGCACAGCAAGAGCAGAGATGTCTTCCTCCAATAGCACTGCATTATGAAATCAAGCTCAAAGAGGACCACTAGAGTTTGCAAGTACACATATCTAAACACACTCCATGAGAATAATCAATCTGGAGCTATTAATCTTTTGGAAAAGAGGTCTGCTGTAATTGCAGGACAATTTATACAAGTCCTAAGCAAGTAATTTTTATATCTTCAAAGCCTAAAAAGTCAATTCAAGTCTTCAGAGTCCCAGCTGTCTCCTGCTCCCAGAGGCAAACTTGAAAGAGCATACACCATTAACAACTACCTCCACTAAATCCATTACTCGGGAACAAACACAGCAGAATGAGAATGGGATAAGCCCAAAAGGAAGTTAAAACTCACTGGGGCCAAAGCTGTATGTGTTTCCATGGCAGACATCACTCTGCAGTTCTGCCTGTGGAAGGAAAATGGATACGCACCTGTGAGCTCGGTGGGCAGTTCCAAAAGCATCATTGACATAGACATCTCCCAGTTTAGAAAGAGAGGCTCTGAAAGCCTCCACTTTTGCAGAATCAGCCTTGATCTAAAAAGAGAAAGAATGTCAAGTTTGTGCTATTCAGGTACACAGAGTTGATTCTGAAACTGAAGTCAAAGTCAGCAATTTCACTTGTAAACCCAAAGCAAAGAAAAGCCAGCTGGAGAAACTTGTCAGTTCATCCTGTGGGTCACTGTATTTCACATGCTCTTTCCCAGTCCAGTAGAAGCAACAAAAAGGTTTAAACTCCACGTTAAACTCCCCGAGACTGCTATTACAGGCCTGAGGACTGTTCCCACTTCAAGTTTCTAGTCCATCAGCAGAGCAGGAATGAACTGCAGCACTACCAACCTTTCAGTCACTCTCCAACAGATTTCCAGTTTTGTGCGGTGAACATAGCTAACAGAGAAAGGGTGTGTAGAGACAAGTCAATGCTGAGATGAGACTAAACAAACTCATGCTTGCTTACTGAACAAAGAAAGGGGGGTCTCCAAGTGCCCACAGGTAAAAAGATGAGCTCCTGAAGGACTGATTTAGCAACTGCATTGAGGATTAACTTATAAATAGCCTGCACACTACCACAGGCCACAGTGAAAGCAGCCAACATCGGAAAGCTGGAGATAAGCTTAGCATGTTGGGCAAGAACAGATGCATTTCTGTTAAAAGACTTTTTCTCCATCCTCCAAGCATCCTACCAAATCCTCATGGGACGGCTCATGCAGTTCAGTTTTCTTTCCCACCATGAAAAGACAGCTCACTTTGACAGTAAGTGACTGCTCGGACCTAGTTTACAGCCACTTGCTCTTAAAGAACGGCCCAGACTGGCAGTCAAGCAATCACCTCTCCAAGTGCCTTTCTGCTTTATCATCTCACCTTCCCAAGTGAGGCCTCTGCCAGCACCCAGATGTAACACCATGGGGACGATGGCAGGAAGGTGTTCTAATATATGGCAGATGGGTTCAGCACAGCTTTTATTCACACAGCCTGAGTAGAAGACAAGCCAAAGGGACTACACAGATTATAGAACAATGCTGTCAACTGCTCCTTCGCTTGGTAAATTGCCTGGCTTTACACAAAGAAATTAAGTGCTCCTGTTAAAACCAGTAACGTCTGTAAGCAGAACACAAGAGGCTCTGAATGAAGGAACCACTACCACTCAATCTGCTTTGGAAAGCCACAGTTTCTAAGCACCGGTTAGTAATCTGCAGTCTTGTATTGCATCACTATTTCCACAGCACTGACTTTCACCTCTGTTAGGACAAGAAACAGGACTGTCAACAGCACCTCTCCTGTTACGCTCAACTGCAGTGCATGCTTCTGTACGCGTACACCCAGTTAAATAATCTGAGAATTACAGAAATGCACAAAACCCCTTCCCAAAGCAAATTAAATTCTTGCCCCACTCTTCTCCCTGCCACCATATTGGCTTTCACTGGCACACAGTTCTAGTAGCAAATAATTCCAGACTTGCTCAGTTTCTCATTGCCATCTGCAAAGGCTTACTAGTTCTCTGGGCTATTTTTCTAAGCTACAGGAGTCCTGTGTCAGCCCATGAAGGGCACCACACGATGTCAGCATTCCGCTCCACGCACTGAATCTGAAAGGAGCCACGGCCTGCATGAAGTCAACGGGGTCACCATCGCTAAGAAAAGCAGCTGTCTGGAGCAAGCATTCTTCCTGACCTTCAAGAAAATGTCAGAGGTGCAAGGCAGCCTGGTTCTAGATGACTACGCGTAAGAGCAGACAGGCTTATAAAAGGGTTTGATAATCCCCATGTTGCACAATGTTTAAACGTTATATTAAAACTTTAGCCAGATAACCAAGAAAGAAGCATCATTCTTATGGCCCCAGTGGCAACAAACTATCTCCAACAGACCTTGTTTTTTTTTTTTAAACACCCCAAAATAAAGTCTAATAAGCAGCAACCAATTTCCTGCACAGCCCTATTTCGCTCCTTTTTCCTTCTTTTAAGGACTACACCACCTTCAGCAGAGCCATCTATAGCCTTTCACTTAAGCTGTTTCATCTTGGAAGTTCAATGCATTGGACTCAAACTTTTGCACAGCATGGTACAAGTGATCGGACAGGCTGAACTAAAGATCTCCAACATCCTTCTGAGAGCAAATTCATGAACAGCATTTTAGACAGGCTGCTGGCTCCTTATCTATATGCAGCAAACAAGGTAGTAAGACCAGAGCAGGCATGCACAAAAGCTAGACTTGAAGTTTCACCTTGTTCCCTGAAGCATCCTTCCCTTTCCCTTCTTCTTCTACATGGAATCGGAGGTTCTCTAGCAGGATGATGGAGCCAGCTGCAGGATTAGCACAGGCCTTCTCCACCTCAGGACCAACACAATCCTTCAGGAATAAGACCTCCCTGCAAACACAAGACATACACTGTCATCCCACCAGCGACTCTTCCTTTCAGAAAGGAAAGCATCCAGGTCCACTGACAGAGAGGGCCTGATGCATACTGGACTGCTCTTCTACTTCACCTGCCCATGAGTGCTTTAAGCTCCACAGCTACTGGGGCCAAGGAGAACTTTTCAGGCATGGGAACACCATCCGGGCGACCCAGGTGACTCATCAAAACCACTGACTTGGCTCCATGATCCAAGCAGTGCTTGATGGTAGGAACAGCCGCCTTGATTCTGTAATAGCAGAGAAGAACAAATGAAAAAGGATTCAAGTAGAGTTTACCAGGCATGCAGACTTAGCGACCACTTACACAAGAGCCCTGGGAGTTGTCCCTCAAAAATGACAAAAGAAACGGAGCACAAGAGCTGGGCAGAACAATCACTTAAGAAGTCCACCCTACCTCTGGCGTTCACATGGTTCAGCCTACCCCTCATCAAAAGACAGCAGGGCATCACCACCACTAAGTCTCCAGAAGGGACACTGGGCTTCGTAGCAACCCATCCTTGCTAGAACAAACGTCTAGGAGACTAACCACAACCCACAGAGCACAGCTTTCCCTGTGGAGCTAACCCAACCTACTCTTCTCCTAGGGACTGTGACAATCCTGAAGCACGGTCCAGAAAGCATCAACAAAATTCCCTGCCCCAGCATGTTTTCATATGTTTCATTGTCATCTTCCATGCGATGTAGGACACGGAAGTAAAATGCATTTTGTAATCTAAATTCTGCTGATTGCTTGTAGCTTAGAAATGCCAGGACACACTTGAACATTACTGGGCCTCCTGATTTAGTCTGTGATCCTGAACCAATAAAGAAATGATGGGAATGTGGAGCAGTGACCATATTGTGGTGAACAAAACTGGCATCTGCCTGCAAGTGACAGACAAGCAAGACAAGACATTTGCTACCACTGTTTCTAAACCCTGTGTCTTTATATGCTGCACTAGAACGATTATTCTAACATAAGCCAACGAGTTAACACAACCACAGGGTAACCAGGGGGCAGAAAGTCTTCTGGCTACTACCAACAGATCTAGCAAATTTTCACACGCAGCCAAAGGGACGTGGTTGTGAAATGGTCGTAACACTTCAACCATATTTAAAGAATGAAGTTTAGGATCTGTACAATTAAGAGACTTTTTCTATATGCTTTCCATGGCAGCTACAGTGAGAAGAAGCCTTGTAGTTAGCGTAGTTTACTAATAGCTGCAGGGGGTTTAATTAACAATTGCTGGACCTTCTCTGAGACACCTTTAATATTCTGGTATGAGCAATGATGGCTTCATCGTGGTAGCATTCCAGGTACTGCTAACAGAACTGGGCTAAAATCAGAGAGAAAACAGACTTCAGGGCTCCCGTCTGGGATGGAAATTATGGCTCACCTTTGATTGTTGGTTATTTTGTAATCCTTCATTGGAACATTGAAGTCAACCCTAAAAAAACAGAAACAAAATTAAATACTTAACAAATTTCTTTTACAAAGAGTAAGGGAACCTGCCAGTAAAGGCTCTGGCTAGAAAAGCAATGTTACAATCAGAGTAAGATTTTTAGCTCTGCCTTGTACACAAGTTCCTTTTTGAAATCAGTATGTTATTAGCCATTTCTGCTTGCAATAATAGAACGCAAAGGGAGAACAAATATCTGCTAGAATGACTTAGTAAAGCTATGCCACCAATACATCCTAATGCTCATGACCGCAGTAGCAACGATGCTGAAGCAAGAAATAAAACTGAGATTGAAGAAGCTCCCCACAACCTTTTCATTTTAAACAACATGCTCTCAGATCACCGCCCAGGAGCTTCCAAGGGCGCTGGAAGCCCATTATTCCAAGGAATAATGAAAAGTGACATTGTGTTCTCTAATGAGGCCTCTAGAATACTTAGTTGGACTGCTACGGCAAGCAGGCAGGCTCAAGAAAGCTGTCCAGTTATTGCCTACAACTTCAAATTTCTGTTCTCTGCAGCTCTAATCTCTCTGCAGCCGAGTGCTGTGGCTTATCACATTCCCACTGGAAGACCTGATGTGGATCCAGAGGTAACTTCCTTACTTGTGCCAGACGAAGGGGTGGAAGGGAGGAGTTTCATCAGCCATTTCTCACTAGCATACCTTGTGCCCATGTGCTGACTAGCAGCAGCAGGAAGCTGTGTTGCGTAACAGCTAAAGGCAGAAATTACTCACAGAGCGAGGGAAGGGAACATCTAACCGACTGTAACAGCGTATCAGAACAAGGAAAGTCAAGTGTGGTGCTACAGTTCACCCTTCATCATTCTGTATCTATATTAAAGAACAACAAAATTCAGGAAGTTGCTTGAATTCCCTTGCAGCCTGCTCAGCACAAGAAACAGATGGAAAGAACGACAAAACCTGCCAGCAAAACAGGATTAGCTGAGCAGAAAGAAATTGAACTGGCAGCCCCATGGTACAGTGGACTAATTCTAGGAAGGGGAAAGAAAAGCACCGTTATCATGCTATTATTCTAAAATGAGAGAATAAAAGAATAGCTTGCTTTACAGAGCCATCAGAGCTAGAAAAGAAAGACCCATCTCACTCTTCTTCCCCACTGCACGACAACTGAAATCTGAGCTCCCCTTGAAGCCTTTCTCCTCCCCATTCCCAACTTCTCTTGAAGCTTTGGCATTAGGACCGGAAGATTATTAGGACTAGAAGCAGGTTATGAGTATGCCAAAATTATGATGAATATGAGAAGAAAAAAAGAAGTATCGATTTTAGTAGTACCGAGAGCACATGGCAATTCTTTTCCGGGAAGAGAGACGCAGGCGGGAAACACAAAGATTGGCACGTCATCTGCTGTTTCACTCAGTTTTAGTAGCCCGTCACAGAATTGCAAAGATAGATATGTGCATTAACTACCGGAGACTACAAGCTGGCTAACCCATCCTCTGCCAATGCGAGACTGTTCTCTGTAACACAACTCAGAAAAGGAAAAAACCGATCAGATGGCAAAAAAAAATCAGTTGTTACAGAGATAAAAAGATCTTCTGTTGCACCAGATTTAGGAAGCACATGCAAATTCTGAGCTAGCTTCTTCAGTACTCGTTATGGGGGCTGGTTTCTGGTAATCAAATTTCTAGGGAACTGCTTCTAAATAAGACGACAGAGAGACAAAATAAAAAGAGCAAGTTGTCTGACACAGACTACAGGGAAGAGATACCTGCCTACTCACTGAGCAAGTTAACAGACACATACTAGTTATATTAGGGTGACCTTGGATAAAGAATCCCACAATAAAGAGTATTTGGTGCAGGATGTATCACGATATACCTCGGTGCCCTTATCTCCCAGTATTTGGCAGCAATTCCAACATTAGGCTTTCAGCAGGCCTTGATGTTTTATAAATAAGCTATGAATTCCTATTTTAGGGTTTTACACCAGGATGTGCTGATACCTGCGATTCGACTCTTACTGCAAAAAGCAGAATTATTATTTTATTTGGGTAGGTGGCCAGAGCCATATTTTCACTTTTTCATTGCAACGCTTTCTGGATTTGCAGGAAGGAAAAAGGGAACTGGGGAATAACCTTTTTTTTGTAGCGCTGCTGAACGATAAACCGGTTATTTTCCCCCACAAACAGCCTGTGGGTGACACGTGTGCAAGCAGAGTGATTCACCAAGGCAGAGCTCCTGCGGTTTCAGCTCCCCGGGTCCACGATGCGGGCCCGCCGATGCCCCCCCCACCAGAAGCGCACCTCGGGCAGCGCTGGACACCGTCCACCTCAGCTTTGCCAGGGCTGAGCGAGGCCTGGGCTTACGCTCCTCCCCGTCAATCATATCCCCCTCACAAGGGAACAGATACGTGTCTTTGCCGGGTAATTCAGGATGTGCGGGGCCTTTCCAACAATCGGCGTACGGGGAAGAAAAAAAAAAAAAAACCAAACAAAACCCCACAGAAAATAATTCGCCGGGCTCAGACAAGAAGCTGCCCAGGACAGACATGACTTGCTGCTGCTGCCTGGGGAAAGCTGCGCGGAAACCCGCCCCC